TTTTTTTTAATTTGGACCATTTCTCGATTTATGCGTGTCATCCTTGTGCAGGGGCCATGCTAATCTTCTCTGTATCGTTCCAATTTTAACAGATGTCCCAAGGACGTCAGGCCATTTTTCTGATGGCTGCGCCATCGTTTGGACGGTAGTGCACCCAAGGAGAACAGCGCAATCTCTAAAGCACTCTCCAAAACGCGCCTTCTTCGAGAGGCGGAACGTAACAGACACTCTTCCAATTCGAGAGTTGGTTCCGCCACACAGCACTACCGAACCGGGCCAAGAGGAAAAATATCGAGTGTGCTATGTGGCGAAGGGCATTTTTCTCTCGAAAACCATCCTCTCGAAAGGTTCTGACAGCCCTCGTTTTTTTTCGAGATTCGATAGTGGTGTGGCGAGGCCCCAAGTCCCACTAGCAGCGTTGAGCTACCTCAACGCTTGAATCTGGACGCTTTTGCGAAGATGTGCAGAAATGCTGTTGAGTTTCCTGAACTGCACGTCTCCACAAACACGTCCAGATTCAGGCGTTGAGCTAGCTCAACGCTGCTAGTGGGACTTGGCCCCCGGTCAACCACTCACCTCATTTGAAGGAACCGGGGGGAAAAAAAAAGTTGAGCGCTGACGGATTCAGGCCATAACTAAACTCGACGTTGCGCCCCTCTCCTTTTTTTTATTTATTATTTATTATTTTTATTTATTCTTTATGAAAAACCCAAGTTGTTGTAGAGGTGGCATACTAGACGGATGGCAGTCACCCACAGTACTCGGCCACTTACAGTACTCGGCCACTTGGTAGCCCCACTCCTAATCCCCATCGTCTCAAATAACAGACTATATGAACGGGCGGGCATGACATGAAGTTGGAAGGCGGAGGAATTCTGTAAACATCCTATCTCAAGGCATACTCACACAACGACCGTTTTACGTATTTCTGAATGGAATTGTGGTCTGATACATGAAGGTATGACAGTAAATGCGATCAGACACCTTTGAGATACTCCTAGTGTGAGTACGCCCTCAGACGCCTATTGGACTGCGATTAGGAAAACGGCAGTGGCAAAAGCGGTAATGACGACAGCAATAACACCAACAACAACAACAACAACAACAACAACAACAACAACAACAACAACAACAACAACAACAACAACGACACATGCGACAACAACGACAACAACAACAACAACACTTCCTCGATTTCTCCCCTCATTTGTATAGGGTTTTCCTTCGCATTCTTGGTCTTTTGTCATCCTTCGGGTAGGGGTGAGTTAGCTGTTGAGTAACGGTTTAAGGGGATTGTCGGCCCTTCATCCCTAATTACCGGGTACTTTGATAGCTTAGATAGGTTTGTGGTTATGAAGGTGGGTGGTTAAGGTGGGCACTACACTAATAATGAATTGACACGTGGGGTGGCCCCCTCACGTGCCTTATGATGTATTAGGGTTATAAGAGCAGCATGTTAATCCTCCCCTGGTATGGGGGAGTAATCAATGCCTTTGCATAAACGATATATGCCTCAACATAAATGATATACACAGTCATGATTAAATTAGGATGACCACGTTAGGCTTATAAGAGCAGCAAGTTAATCCTCCTCTGGTATGGGGGAGTAATCAATCCTCTTTTGCATAAACGATATACACAGTTATGATCAGATTATTTTGGGATGGTCATGTAGCCTATCTACATGATTTCCATTTCATCATATCATTGTACAGGGACGCTGGACCCGATTCCCAGCAGATGCTGCTCCACACCAATAGATGGAGCCTTCACTGCAGGGGTCACTTGATGAGGATGCTGTTATCACCTCGTCAAGTGGACTTCCTGTCTTTGGAGTTTGCAAAAAAAAAAAAAAAAAAAAAAAAAAAAAAGGAAAAGAGTTATTCTACAACTCGAAGCGTTGGAAATACAACAACAAGAGCAATGGAAGTAATGGTTAGCACAGAGGAATATCATAACTGGAAACATATTGACCAAAGAAACTTTCAGGCGCCTACTACTGCAAACAGTTCAAACTCCGATGAGGGATTTGACTCACCCTTTCTCACTGGCTCCCCAAGTCTTTGATAATTTAGATGAGATGTGTGAATTTGCCTGCCTGTATTTTCTAGACATTTTATCTGCACCTAGACCCCTTGAGGGATTTCACACAGATCACAGAGAGTTTTCAGACTTTCGAAACCATTCTAGTGTGAAACTTCGAAATTCCAGAAGACTGGACCTGGACAGGCTGATTAAATATGAGAAACTGCAGGAAGCTGCAAAGCACATGGTTGTAGGGAAATGCCCGGGAGATGACGGTATCCCTATCGAACTTTATCTATCATGTTGGGACAACATTAACCCTTACCTCCTCAATATTTACAACGTAGTCCTTACTGGGGGCAACCTGACGAAGGCGATGACGAATGAGATTATCATGCTATTGTACAAAAAGGGAGAGAAGGTACTGAATGTCTCCTATAAACTCCTAGCGAAAATATAAGGGGCAAACTGACGAAGGTCCTGAATGTCTCCTATAAACACCTAGCGAAAATCTTAGCGCTATGACTCGCTAAATACTTACCGGCTCTAATCGGTAAGTACCAAGGCACTTTCGTGAAGCATAGGTCGATAATGGAAAATATTGCCTGCATTGTGCAAGCCCTGAAAATAATTTATAGAGAAAATCGGAATGTGGCGATCCTTTTACTGGACATGGAGAAGGTCTATGATCGGGTGGGATTGACCTTCGTTATGACTATGTTGCAAAATATGAACTTTGGTCCTAATTTTTGCAGATGGGTAGTAATAATTACGTACTCAAGCGCTATCGCTGTAGTTATGGTGAATGGTCAATTATCACCTTATTTTTCTCTAACGTGCTCACTTAGACAGGGCTGCGCTCTTGCGCCGCTGCTTTTGTCATTCATATAGAAGTGTTGTTGGACAACGTGAGATTTAGCCCCGGAATCGAAGGGCGAACACTAAAAAAACCAACTTCAATCGAAAGGGGGTGCTCTAGCAAATGACTTGACCCTGGTTTGTTTAAATACTCACTCTAACTTGATTGCCATAAAGAAAACTCTAAATACTTACTGTGAACTTTTAGAGGCCTCAATTAATTAGAATAAATTTGTTACGTTTTGCTTGAATCATATTCTCTGAATGTGAACTGGGGGTTAAGGAAAGTACTCGCGGACACAACGGATGAATTTTTGGGTGTGCAAGTGTCATTGTCAGATAACTCAAACTTTCAATACTCTATTCTGGAAGAAAATTTGGTCAATCATTTATTATCGCGACGCTTTCTGTGTCACTTGGGGAGGGCCATAGTTATCACTTCGGCAACCTTTTCTATTCTATGGTACTCTATGGCTGTTCATGTTTTGGGAGATGAGTCTTATCATAAGAAGATAAGAAAGTCAGTTGTCAGAGTTTTGTGGGAACCAGAGAGCAATCCACAAAGTGGGTTCATGTCAAAAATCGTTTGGGAGACTATAACCTTCCCAAAGGATGAAGGGGGCATGGGGATTTTAGATCCCCGCCAACAAAATCTCGCTCTACTGGCGAAATGGCCAATAAAAGCTTTATTGTCAAGCGAGTCTTCTTCATGGCTTCGTCTAGCCTTGTACATTTTGTGGGAAGAATGAAATCTAGTCAGGGATGAGGATGTATTAGCCTATCTCCTAATTAAGTTATACGTTCAGAAGCAACCGAAGTCTTCGTTTTGGAAGGGCATTATTTTGGTTTGGAAAAGGTTGTTCCCTACATAGAGAGAATATCCTCAGACTAAAGAGGCTATCTTAAACCAGATAACTTTCGAAAACCCATTGATTAGGGACTCGCGAGGCAAGAATTTTGCAGCAAGAGATGCAACTAGGTATTTTGACAGGGCTTGGATTGGGAAAAAAGTGGTGAGGTAAGCCGATTTGTGGGATACAATCAAAGGAGACTGCCGCTCAGACGAAGAAGTTAAGATGAAACTCCGCAGATTAAGGCATGTCTCTAGTAGGGTAACAAAATTTCAACATGCTATACCGCAAGTCTAGACCTATTTGCTAATTCATATTCATATTCCCCCTTCTAACCTCTGGCTCAAAGATCCTGCCTCTCCTCTTGACAGTGTATTCTAAATTACGGATGATCTGGGAGA